CGTTTAATACAGCTGTATTCTGTGAGTTTCCTACATTGTCAATGTTGTTTAATACACCTGTATTCTGTGAGTTTTCATCATTGTCAATGTTGTTTAATACACTTGTATTCTGTGAGTTTCCAACATTGTTTATGTTGTTTAATACACCTGTATTTTTTGAGTTTCCAACATTGTCAATGTTGTTTAATACATCTGTATTCTGCGAGTTTCCAACATTGTTTATGTTGTTTAATACAGCTGTGTTCTGTTAGTGTCCAACATTGTCAATGTCGTTTAATACACTTGTATTCTGTGAGTTTCCAACATTGTCAATGTTGTTTAATACACTTGTTATCTATGAGTTTCCATCATTGTTTATGTTATTTAATACACTTGTATTCTGTGAGTTACCAACATTGTTTATGTTGTTTAATACACTTGTATTCTTTGTGTTTCCAACATTGTTTATGTTGTTTAATACACCTGTATTCTTTGAGTTTCCAACATTGTCAATGTTGTTTAATACACTTGTTATCTATGAGTTTCCAACATTGTTTATGTTATTTAATACACTTGTATTCTGTGAGTTTCCAACATTGTTTATGTTGTTTAATACACTTGTATTCTGTGAGCTTCCAACATTGTCAATGTTGTTTATTACATTTGTATTCTGTGAGTTTCCAACATTGTCAATGTTTTTTAATACACTTGTATTTTGTGAGTTTCCAGCAGTGTCAATGTTGTTTAATACACTTGTATTCTGTGGGCTTCCAACATTGTCAATGTTGTTTATTACATTTGTATTCTGTGAGTTTCCAACATTGTAAATGTCGTTAAATACACTTGTATTCTGTGGGTTTCCAACATTGTCAATGTTGTTTAATACATCTGTATTCTGCGAGTTTCCAACATTGTTTATGTTGTTCAATACACTTGTATTCTTTGAGTTTCCAACATTGTTTATGTTGTTCAATACACTTGTATTCTTTGAGTTTCCAACATTGTTTATGTTGTTCAATACACTTGTATTCTTTGAGTTTCTAACATTGTTTATGTTGTTTAATACACCTGTATTCTTTGAGTTTCCAACATTGTCAATGTTGTTTAATACAATTGTATTTTGTGAGTTTCCAACATTGTTTATGTTGTTTAATAAACTTGTATTCTGTGAGCTTCCAACATTGTCAATGTGGGGGATTACATTTGTATTCTGTGAGTTTCCAACATTGTAAATGTCGTTAAATACACTTGTATTCTGTGGGTTTCCAACATTGTCAATGTTGTTTAATACACTTGTATTTTGTGAGTTTCCAGCAGTGTCAATGTTGTTTAATACACTTGTATTCTGTGAGTTTTCCAACATTGTCAATGTCGTTTAATACACTTGTATTCTTTGAGTTTCCTACATTGTCAATATTGTTTAATACACTTGTATTCTGTGAGTTTTCATCATTGTCAATGTTGTTTAATACACTTGTATTCTGTGAGTTTCCTACATTGTCAATGTTGTTTAATGCACTTGTATTCTGTTAGTGTCCAACATTGTCAACGTTGTTTAATACACTTGTATTCTGTGAGCTTCCAACACTGTCAATGTTGTTTAATACACTTGTATTTTGTGAGTTTCCAGCAGTGTCAATGTTGTTTAATACACTTGTATTCTGTTAGTGTCCAACATTGTCAACGTTGTTTAATACACTTGTATTCTGTGAGCTTCCAACACTGTCAATGTTGTTTAATACACTTGTATTCTGTGAGTTTTCCAACATTGTCAATGTCGTTTAATACATCTGTATTCTGTGAGTTTCCTACATTGTCAATATTGTTTAATACACTTGTATTCTGTGAGCTTCCAACACTGTCAATGTTGTTTAATACACTTGTATTCTGTTAGTGTCCAACATTGTCAATGTCGTTTAATACAGCTGTATTCTGTGAGTTTCCAACATTGTCAATGTTGTTTAATACAATTGTATTTTGTGAGTTTCCAACATTGTTTATGTTGTTTGATACAATTGTATTCTGTGAGTTTCCAACATTGTAAATGTCGTTAAATACACTTGTATTCTGTGGGTTTCCAACATTGTCAATGTTGTTTAAAACATCTGTATTCTGCGAGTTTCCAACATTGTTTATGTTGTTCAATACACTTGTATTCTTTGAGTTTCCAACATTGTTTATGTTGTTCAATACACTTGTATTCTTTGAGTTTCTAACATTGTTTATGTTGTTTAATACACCTGTATTTTTTGAGTTTCCAACATTGTCAATGTTGTTTAAAACATCTGTATTCTGCGAGTTTCCAACATTGTTTATGTTGTTCAATACACTTGTATTCTTTGAGTTTCTAACATTGTTTATGTTGTTTAATACACCTGTATTCTTTGAGTTTCCAACATTGTCAATGTTGTTTAATACAATTGTATTTTGTGAGTTTCCAACATTGTTTATGTTGTTCAATACACTTGTATTCTTTGAGTTTCCAACATTGTTTATGTTGTTTGATACACTTGTATTCTGTTAGTGTCCAACATTGTCAACGTTGTTTAATACACTTGTATTCTGTGAGTTTTCAACATTGTCAATGTTGTTTAATACACTTGTATTCTGTGGGCTTCCAACATTGTCAATGTTGTTTATTACATTTGTATTGTGTGAGTTTCCAACATTGTCAATGTTTTTTAATGCACTTGTATTCTGTGAGTTTCCAACATTGTAAATGTCGTTAAATACACTTGTATTCTGTGGGTTTCCAACATTGTCAATGTTGTTTAAAACATCTGTATTCTGCGAGTTTCCAACATTGTTTATGTTGTTTGATACAATTGTATTCTGTGAGTTTCCAACATTGTAAATGTCGTTAAATACACTTGTATTCTGTGGGTTTCCAACATTGTCAATGTTGTTTAAAACATCTGTATTCTGCGAGTTTCCAACATTGTTTATGTTGTTTGATACAATTGTATTCTGTGAGTTTCCAACATTGTAAATGTCGTTAAATACACTTGTATTCTGTGGGTTTCCAACATTGTCAATGTTGTTTAATACAATTGTATTTTGTGAGTTTCCAACATTGTTTATGTTGTTCAATACACTTGTATTCTTTGAGTTTCCAACATTGTTTATGTTGTTTAATGCACTTGTATTCTGTGAGTTTCCAACAGTGTCAATGTCGTTTAATGCACTTGTATTCTGTGTGTTTCCAACGTTGTCAATTTTGCTGATGTATGGTATTATTTCATTAATGTTAAGCACAAATTGTCAGTGTATCCATTGATGTTCCTAACGTAAGATATAGTGCTCTCGCTCTCACTCCTTTGCATACATGACAGATCTGTATATGGCAAGAAAGAGTGCACGTAATTCTGTCTTGCATCCAATTTCACGTGCGTGACGTCATAACAGGACAACAATGATGTGAAATCTTATCCATTCGGTTGCCACGATGCGGAAACTGCCGACGCATTTTTGTGGTTTCTGAGCTAATTCTGGTGACTTGAATGACAGAAAAGTACTTCTTCATGCTTACGGATTTAAGATAGGGGAATTTCAACATAGGGATTTTAAAACAAGTTCAAAGCCCCTACAAGACCGGGTTTCGCCGAATTTGTTAATCTCTTGGTTGGAAATTTTCTATACTGCAACCCCTGGGCATGAAAGTGTCTTATTTTCCTTGAGTTCCGACATTGTCGATGGTAATGGAATTCTATTATTGTCTGTTTTTTGTTCTACGATCTTAAAACATTTTCCTTGTGTGGCTGTCCTTTTTAATTCTGAAGTATCCTTCAGGTTGTGATTTTGGATCATTCTTTCACAATCCACATCAATATTCAAAGAATAAAACCGATGCCTAAGGTACATCTGTAAAAGCCATTTTGTTAAGTATGATTTGGCAATTGTCATGCATGACAAACCTTGTACTAACATGGGCTTCGTAAGTGCTCTCTCTATATATGAATATGGCAGAGAATACATGCCTACGTATCAAATTGGACAAGATGACCATTCATAGAAATTAAATAAAGACGGTCCCGAGTTACCTTTTTCACTATATACGGAAGTGCAAGAAACTTTCAGAAAGAACAATATGAAGTGTTATCTATATTTTTCTCTGGTGCAAGAGCACTTTTTAAGCTTTAGAACTTAAGTATTTTGAGTATACACCCAGAAGTAAAATTAACATTTTAATTTACACAAGAAATAATTACTAATATTTTCTCTTGTAAAAGAATGATTTAAACTGTAGTATTAAGTAATTTAAGGATTTTTCTTAAATAATAAAATTTGTGGTCAGTCACTTATATAAACATGATCCATGCTTTAGTTTCAGGTCACTTTTAAAGAGGAAATAACACTTAATTGAAATGTTCCTATAATTATCCCACGAATACCTGCAGTACTTTTAAAGCTGAATTACTTTATTATCTTGACAAAAATTTATCTGACAACAATAAGAATGCCCTTTTAAATACATTAACCGTTACATCCTTACATTGTCGGTGACGTATGCTCTATGATTGTAACTGACAGCGATTGACCGTAGATGTATGGTTTGCGGTTCTGAAGAGGACGGAAGATCCTGTGCTCCCCGACAAGTATACTACAACTCGCCCCAGTCCTGTTCTGCTGGTAAAAGCTACTGTATGACGTCAGTATACGTGGACGAGAATGGGGCAACAACCGTTTACAAATCGTAAGGACACTTAAAAACTGTTTGTCCGCTTAGTAACCTATGTAAATTCATGACCTCAATTAGATTCCATCGCCTGCAAAATGTATATAACGAATCGAGAAGCTTTTATTTTAACAGGGCTTGCCGAACTAAGAAAGAACATTTCAGGACGAGTTTTTAAAACTAGTATGAAATGGAATCAACTTTAGTATTTTTTGTCACGTCATCCAGAATGTATGCAAATATTCGAAAAACTAAATTACAATAACTTAAGTTGATCGCAAGAAATTTAGTAGATATGGTAGATGTGTTTACCACTTACATCAATTATCCTTATCAAAGTTATCGTCACTAATTGAACAGGGTCCAACGACTCTTTACTAATTCTTTACTAAATCTAAATGTAAACACTTTGATTACATACTTACTATAAATGCGGGTTTTTTTGTACCCATATCAGCCCTCGCCGTACATTGAAGTCTCGGGTTGATACTGGGTGCGATATGTATTATTCTCTATTTATCACACAATGTACTGTGTTGTCCAGTAAATATACCCATGTCCTAGTTTTTTCGTATTAACCATTGTAATATGACCTATCAACCCTGTGATTGGTTGTAAGTTTCAATTGTGACATTACGCCTAGGACAAAAACATGACGTCACAGACTTACGCATATGAGTCAAAATGACGGCTTTTCACATTTCAAGGTTGCATACAAATTGCCGTTTTACACAAATAAATGCCACAAATCTTGATGTGAAAAAAAAGGATCTTACACTCGTTTTCATTACATATGAAACTCGTTACTTGTTTTTTCATTTAAGCTTACCGGAGTCTCGCTAAATTGAAAACTTCTTAAGACTTGTTTCATAAATCTCATATGAAATGGAAACTTCTGTAAGATCCTATATATATTCTTCATGTACAAATATACGTAACTTTTGATAATTTTAGGTGTGTGGATGAGACAACGTGCTTGAATAAGTGGTTGTTGTTCTCGTCTGATAAAGACTACTGTCTGTACTACGGCAAAATAAGCATCGCTGGGAAGTACGAGTGTCACTTCTGCTGTACCGACAACGACTGTAACACCGACGTGTACCCCTCCTCTAGCATGTACGTGGGATAGACAGCCGACGTCGTTAACAACATGTTACGTCCTCCTACACTTTAAACTCCGTTTATATTTTGATGTGATTCCGCTTATTATTGTAAAATAAATACAGACAGAATTGGACCTTGATTGTTTACCCTTTTTTCAAATGTATTTGAAATGGACATACTTTTATCGCACCTCAGACAGAGATATCGCATGTCACACCCCATATTAGATTTCGCTATCTCGTCCAATCTGTCTGGCACCTTTACGCGACATTTCGCGGATTTTTTAAAGTGATCTACCATCTGCGCAGTACAGCTCGAAATTGACAATCTTCGATTTTGTCATTATGTTTATTGCTTTGATAATGTTAGATTTTTGATGTTACAGATCAAATTTAATCTACACTGTGAAATATGTCCTTTGTAAGGACGGATTACATGTTACCGAGGAAGCATTCAAATGTAATTTTAACAAGAGGCCCATGGGCCTTAACGGTCACCCGAGTCCTACAGTATTTATTTTTGTTGTTGAAAGATGTACCAATTTGAGTAAAAAATAGTTAAGTATAATGTTAACTTAACTTTGTCAGGACCATGAGCTGATCATTCCTAGACCGATTTTCAGTGAGATCGGCCTATTAGAACTTGTTTTAAAGTTTGAAATAGGTATTTACAAAATAGCGGCCATGGCAGCCAAATTGTATTTCTGATTGACCCGAAAAATAACAAAACTTTGTCAGGACCATGAGTCGATCATTCTTACCAACTTTCAGTTCAATCACCCCAGCAGAACTTTACTTTAAACTTTGAAATAGGTATTTTCAAAATGGCGGCCGTGGCGGCCATATTGGATTTCTGAACGACCCGAAAAATAACAACACTTTGTCAGGACCATGAGTCGATCATTCCTAC